AAGATTTTAAATAGCCAATACTTTTGGTAGACTTTTAAATAGCAAGAAATTTTATTGTATTCAGCCTATTCTAACATGCCACTGCTGCGCGAGCCACCCTTTAGTGCGAGAAGGTTTAATCTATAGCCAATACTTTCAGACGTACAAGTTTCCTCACGATGTTTTCTTTCACCGTAAGACAAGCAGAAATCATGTTGAACAATGGTAGCCCAGTGGAAACCGAGTCACGTCACTGATATTTTCATGTATAAATCATTTTTTCCTTACATAGTAAGTTTTGATGAGTAGTATTTAGCTATTTTATTGAACAATTCTTAGACATTCGAAGGAGACTAATTGAAACTCAACGAGTATATGCAATGACTAGCCTGGTTTAAAATTCAAATGTCACGAAGTACAACCCAGTTCTTTAAAAGCCCTATACAAGGTAGGTGCGGTGGTGACATAACTTAAAGTGCGTTATGTAAGCCAGGTGCTTACAAGATATCACGGTATGTGCTGCTTATAAATGTTATACTAAAAGAGAAATAAATTTGTATGTTTATGTAGGACTACTTTTATAAGCGAAAGTTTGTTTGTGTGTATGCTTGTTACTCGAAAACTGTAAATGGCTGGACAGATTTGGATGTAGTGCACAGATAGATTATGACCTGGAATAACACATAAGCTATTGTTGGGTATCTAGGAATGCACCCGAGTGAACTGAGGGTATATAGCTAGTCTATACTAATATTATTAAAAAGAAAAAATGGAATTTTTGTTTGTAATGGATAAAGTTAAAATCTGCTGAATCTATTTAAATGAAATTTGGTATGAAAATAGTATGAGACCCTGGGAAGGATATAGGGTTGGAAGGATGTAGTTTTTATCGTGGAAAATATCCCTCTAGGGGGTGAGAAAGAGAATGAAAGTTTGTATGGCGAATCAAAAATTTCTCAAGTAACGGATATAAAACTCATCATACCTATGTAATATGTATATACTAATATATAGATGATCTATTCCATACTATCCGTAAAATGGGGACAAACCCGAGTGAAGCAAGAGTAAAACCAAAGGCATGTAAGAATGTACCCAAACAAAGCCTAAAATCGTCGAGGTTAAATCGTTAGCTCTTAATAATAAGTTGCAATTCAATCAAAATCGTTAGTGGTATTCTTTACATTTAATATCGACAGGTATTGCTAAATATTGCGGTGTTTTGTATTGAATATGTACGTGTACCTTTGCAAGTGAAATCTAAGACACCTGTAGGGTTTTGTAATTTGTTAATGTAAATAATATTAACAATGCCCTTCAGGTGGTCGCTGTGGATGGTAAATTTTACTGAGATTATTATTTATCTGAGACTAGCGACGTGTTAACGGTTAGTATGAAATATAAATCTTTGAATTTCTCGTCTTTTCTTTACTATCATATACATGTATTATACATATAAAAATTCCTCTCGAATCACTCTATCTAAGCGAACAAACAGCGGAAGCGACTTCATTTTATCCTATGTAAAGATGACACAAAAATGTAGTTATCTATATATTATAATTTAAGCGAAAACTAGTTTTCTATTTTGTAATATTCTATGTTTCTATATTATGTTCACGGAAATTGTATTTCTATCGATATTACATTATTATACATTTAAGAGTACCACCGTCCGTCTGTTTAGTATCAATGAACAGATTCCAATGTTTAGATAGATTGAATAGATTTTGTGTTAAATGTGGACCGATTTGGATACAATTTAGTAAAGGGATAGACCTGACTTGAGGTAATACATAGGGTATATGCTTGAGGTAATACTGTTGGGTTTCTAAGCACTCACCAAAACGAAGCGAGTCGTAGTAAGTCGATAGTATAACTTAAAACCAAATCATCATCTCAGTTTTCTTTTGAATATGCTTATCGTTTTATGTGTTTATTTTTAACACTTATGTGCTATAAGTGAGATTTTATCATGCTTTACACACAGTATATTGTGTACATGAATATTGCAGAATATGGTACTTTTACCATTTAATTTATAAACGTAATTTAGTTAAATTTGTGTAAAATAATATTTCTCTTAAGAAGTTAAACTTAATTAATATGTGGACATGGTTTTCCATTATTTAATTGGTTTTAACACTTAAGTTTAGAATTTATTGATAGATGGCGTTATTTAAAATAACTATCTTTGCAGATTTTTTCGTAGATTTATTTCGAATTTTGTTTCCCGGCATTTCGAATGCTTTACAGCAATCATGGTCACGAAGAGATGACGTTAGCTAAGGAAGTCGCAAAAAAATATATTAAAAAAAAACATTTTTAACGGACAAACCCACGGGCAGACACTAGTAGGAGTCTATTGATTTAACCAATCGTTATGGTATCGCAGATCGGTGCACGTTCACTTTGCATTCCACACTTTGTGGTCAACCAGTTTTTGTTCACTTTATCATATATAGTAATTTACATTCATAAGTGGCGTTTAAATGATAATCATCTAGTACAGTGGTGACGTAGCTTGCTTATTTCCACTAATATAAATAAATAAAAAAAAAACAATTAAAGGTCTTTAAAATTTTTTTTTTTTGAGATAAGCTTATTTTTGAATTTTTTGTTCAAATATAACACCAATTCTTGTTAGAAACTATGTGAATCAACCACTTTTGAACAAGTCTAGTTTGATATCTGTATCCATTGTATTTTCATACAAAATCGGGGTCATTATATTTGGTAGTGAATTAAAATGAACATAAAATAGTATCAAAATAAATAGAATTAAAATGACCGTAAAGCAGTTCCGGTAGCTCATAATCGAGTGATCTGGTATTATTGTCTTCGTGTACACTCTCATGCTCTACTTTACATAGAATTGTTACGTTACACTAATGTTGAGTTGAGTTTACCTCGTTAAAACAACTATAATAAAATTTTGACGAGTCAAAGCTATTATTAGAATGTTTTTACTTATGTATGATTAATGATGGTTAGGTAAAGTACAGTATCTTTTGAAGTTATACTTCTTTTGGCATGTTTTGAAAAAAATATGAGAATAAAATTTTTATGATGCGCGCGCATACCGATAGCTAGAACGCGACATGATGAAGTTAGCTGAAAGCGGCATGATGAAGTTAGCAACATTCCTTTTACAAAGAGAGAGTTGTGACATACGGGATGATATATTTAGCTATTTTTGTTCTGTTACGCCAAAGAAGTAGTATAACTTCTTACTTGCGTACATGAGTACACACACACACGTATTTAAAAAAAAAACAACCTTTTTTTTCGGATTTTTTCGCGGTTTATTTTTTACTCTCAACGTTTCGAATGTCTTACAGTGAACATGGTCACGTGAGAGCCTACGCTTTTTGGCGTCTCAAAGGTCATAGTAATTACCAACAAATATACCCAAAAAATTATTAAGTAATTTGGAGTAAAAGAGAAAGTAGATACTTTACAATATGAAAAACAAGGATAATCAATAATTGAGAATAAGACCGCTGGAGTAGATCTCAAGGCGCTTAACTAGACTAGGCTGATTGAAACTATCCCCCCCAACGTGCGTTCACCTTGTCGTGGTGGGGGGGGGGGGCTCAGTAGTGCCCGGCAACCCAACCGGGCGCGAAGCCAAGAAACGCACAGGGAGGTGGCCCACTTCGGTGGGCGGTGGGAGGTGGCCCTCTTCGGAGGGCAGTGTACCATGCGGGTTGCTCCTGGTACTTCTCTGATAGCAGAGTGGACTGTGGAGCAACCCCGTGGTTATTGTGGTCTGCTTCGGCAGACCTGCCGTCGGGGCGTCGTAGTTGAATGCGTAAGCGATCCTGCGACGCCCCATTAAGACGGGGGAAGGTTTCGTTGGGTTTTAGTGGGTAGTACTGGCTTTGCCGGTGAGTCCCACACCTCGTGCGTAAATGCATTTCCCAACATTAAAAAAAAAAGGCTGATTGAAACTATACATTTAATTATCATTCTATTACCTATACAATACAATGCTTTCCACTAAAATTTGTCCAGCCTTTTTTTGTCACACGCGATAAATAGACAAACAGACAAACTTCTAGAAAATATCGATAATTTCAAATATTATTAAATTATGACATTTTTTATTTTTTAATGTGAAACGAATGAGAGAGTATTTTGACTGAATTGTATATTGTCTATTAGATACAGTGTGTATATATTTATGTAGGTCAGCCATTCAAGGATTTCGCTCAACAATGCTCACGTTCTCCTTTGATTCCTTTAGTTGATACACAATAAAATATAGAGCAGGTTTTATAAAGTGGATTTATCAACTAAATTCTCTTTACTCTTTCAATAAACAGGTATATAGAATCCAAAATATCTTTCAAATTAATTATTTTGCATCCTTAAACCGGCGAAAAAGTAACATAAATTTATTTTAAATAAAACTATCTAATTTAAAAAAATTAAAAATTTATTCATAAAAACTTTCACGTTTATAATAATAGTAGTTTTTTTTAAAGAATGGTATAAATTGCAACTATTACAACTGGCAAAGATATCGTATAATTAACATTTACTTATCACAGTAAATGACTATTATATTAATATTTGTATATTTTTTTAAAATATATTATTGTTGGGCTTTATGTAGTTCTATGACGCTCTGTCTATATTATTTATTTCACAGAAACAATCATTTTTTCTTGGTAGTCTACACTATCAAAGCTAAAGCATTGCAACATGTCCAGTTGCAAACGTTAGTAAATTCCTTAATTTGATATAAAATGACATTGAATTAGTAACAAAAAGTAATTAAATCTTTCTGTGTTGCAATATTTAGTGATGAATCTTGTGTGAACGTTTCAAAATATAAACACTCACGGTTTTATTGATCACTTAAGTTATTATTATTTGTGCAGATTTTTACATTAGAATTGTGAAACTGTACAGTCTAGTTAGTATTTGGTTCAAAGTCACCATTTTTCTTTTTGTAATGTATAAAATTTGGTTTTAGATGGACAAATTATTTTGTTCTACAGGTTGCGACTAAAATGAAGATTGAAATAAGTGCCATATTATTATTAAGTTCTTTAACAATAGTCGTATCCAAGTCTTTCGATTTGCAAAAGCTTAAAGAAGCAAACATAAATGACATAGACAACGATATCATAGACTTCGACGATACATATTCAGTCAAATATGATAAAAAGTATGAAGTCCTTCCTTGGGATGAAAATAATTTTCATAAAGATAATTATAAGTATACTATAGAAAAACAAGAAAAGAAAATTAAAGATCAAAATGTAGTTAATATTAAGACTACATCAGATCCAGCGACTGAAAGTATACAAAAAACAACAGAACTTAATCTTATACCTTTAGAGCTATTAAGTACAACTGAAAGCGTATCTGCTAGTGTAACAGAACATACGCTAGAACCTGATTTAACTGTGATACCTCTGAGTACCACACAACAAGTACCACTTAAAATTATCATTAATCAAACTGTAACAATACCACCATCAACTGAATTATCAGAAGATTTTAATTTCACGACTGTGTTTTATGAAATGACAACAAAAGGATTAAGTTTAAACGAGAGTACAGAAAATAGTACAGCAGAAATAACAACCAATGACAAATACACATTTGAGCCTGTAACAAGCGACCCGGTCGTCACATATTTATTAGAAGAAGATTCGACGGAGTCTATTCTTGCCAAAAATAAAAATGATGATTTAAATGAGGCAATAAGTATTGTAAATGATAATAATGAAACAATTAGTGATGATAATAGTACAGCAACAAATAATGAAGTGCCAATACTCACAGAAGTAGATGTAGAAGATTTAACTGAAGTTCCTGAAGATTATTATGATTCAAAAGATATCGTACCAACTCCTGCTCCAAAAACTGATACGTTATCTGTAATCTTTGGATTTGCAGGAAGTGTGGTGGAAAGCGTGGTTTCAAGTGTGGCAGAGAGAGTTGTGCCTAAAAGCTTATATGACTTATTTAAGAGAATGCAAAGGCAAAGTGAGTTGTTAGAAGCTGAAAAATTAAGAAGTAAAGAGGAGAATGGAGGATTAGGTAATGTGACTTAAGTAATATCTGATTGTTATTTTTACTTAGCGTCTTATTTATTAATATTATTTTCAAAGTCATTGAATATTTTATTTTAGTTATCGGCTTTAGATTGAAGTTGTCGTTATCTTATTCAAAATTAATTTTAATTTAACACTCTTGTAGGTCAATTCACTCGTGGTGTACTTAAAAGTATATCCTCTGGGTTAAGCAAACCCCTCAGTCAAATCATGGCTGGTGTTAGAGATATCGGTTCCTTGGATAGTGACCGTGGTTTCATCAACAGTTTGGCTTCTGGAGTCAGCAGTGTTGCTGACGTTGCTAATTCTATGCTGGATGTATTCAAAGACAGGGTCCAAACTATTTATCCAGGTAAGCTTTTATTAAAATAAATTGCTATAAAGTAACTACAAAGTCCTATGGATAATTATATCCACCATATATTACATTAGTAATGGTTATATCTTTTAAAAGCACCTTTGGAAAGATAAATACTTTTAAGTATTTAGTATATAAACAATGATTGACGCTCATTTACAAAATGTTATTACTAGATACTTAACAAAATCCTACGCGTATCCCAGGCCATAATCTATCTGTGTACTTATCGAAGAAGTATTAAACATACATATGTATGTGTGATACAAACTTTCGTATTTATATTGTAGATATACCCTTATAAATTCATTTTCTTAGGTACAGTTTGGTGTGGAGGGGGCCACTCTCCCCAGGCTCGATCGAGCGATCTTGGGCTATTTTTCTTTACTGACACCTGCTGCAGAGAGCACGATGCATGTAAGATGTACATCTTGGCCGGCGAAACTAAATTTGGGCTTAGTAATACTGGATTGTTCACTAGGTAATGTTGATGGTTATTATTGTATTTATACATACATATATACGTAGTTATATCACGTGCAAATTGTGGAACAATATTCCTCTTAAGATTTCAGTAAGCGCTATGATATGGGGCTCTTTAATTGTAGTGTCTTCAGGTCCGTTATAGGCAAAGCATTCGCAACTCCTCTTACATTGTTTATGAGCTGTCGCTCACCAGATAGATAGCTACTAATTATCAGGTGGATCGTTTGCTCATTTGCCACTTTTACAGTAAAAAAAACCAAAAAAAAACCAAATAAATAAAAGAAAATTTGGAAAAAATAAATTTTAGCTATTATTCAATAATACAATCTGATTCTTATTATAAACTAGCGACTCAACCTAGCTTTGCTTCGGTTCGTTCGTAGGTGATTCTTTAATTTGACAAAACTTGTTTTCCTTATGAAACGATTGAACTAAAACAAATACTAAATGTTACACAAACAGACAAAAATTCTGAAAGTCATTGTTTTGGGTTCTATTGCGATTAGATTAATATACCCTGAATAACAGTCTTTCTGATTTCTTAAATATCTTCCATGTACAAACAGCGATCAATTATACTTTTATTATATGTATAGATAATAGATATAGATAAAAAGTTTGTATTCTTGTATGTGCGTAATTTTTTTATATAAACCAAGACTGGGTGTAATGCTTTTTGTTTCACTGTTAAATATATTTAAATGACTTATAATAGGAGTGTCGTAACTATCATTGTACCAAAGTCTCATGACGCATACTTTCCCTTTCGCCGTCATTCATATTTTAAATGAGCGACATAAAAGTATTATGCTGCATCTTTCATTTTATTACGCAATATGTTATTATACGGTACAGCTTGGTACTAAAATGTTTTCAAGTCTAGATTGGACGTTTTCTAAAGTCTATATAGAATTTCTTTCAGATTTACATCTTTCATTTACTTTCACTATATCACTTTATCTTTCATTGGTCTTCCGAGGCTGTCAGAGAAGTACCAGGACTAACCCGAATAGTACAGCCTCATCGAAGTGGACTACCTCTGTGTGTCTTTTGGCTTCACGCTCAGCTGGATACCGGAGGCTAATGACCATACCACCCCTCTTAAATTGTCTTCTCGTGTCAGTCTTTATTGGGCCAATGTCCAGAGTTCTTTGATAAACTTGTGCCTAAACCTGTTACTAAGGTACCTTTCTAATATACGATACATACGTAATTGTTTGACAAATAATTCAAAGTTGATATTTTCTATACCATTAAAGTTATGAGGAAGTTAATATCCTCTACGTTACGAATCTTAGAACATAATTGTCTGTTGACGGCCTTGAAAGTCCGTAATTAAGCTGCAAAGTAACATTTATAGTAGGGGAGCCCAAGAGGGGATTTTCTGTAGTTACTCGAGCGCGGCAGATTAATATACAGGGGGATACCTTGTACCCGGTTAAGTACCTCCACAAAACATGAGGCCCATATATAAGGCCGCCCGTGAAGGATACAGGATCAGATTAGTAAAAAAAAATTGACCACCAGAAATTCTCGAGCGCGTCAGATTAAGGTAGGGTGAATTAATTACATCCTAAAAAGTGTATATTCCACTAATCTGACAATTTGAGAGTGACGTAAAAAAAGGAGAGGGCAACAAAGTTGTAAAAAAAAAAACGTCATCTCGACATTCTCGAGCGTAGCTAAATTTTTTTTTATTTTGAAGGAAATAATGCAAGAATAATGAAAAATATATAATCTGACGATTTCCGCAAGCCGAAATAACAAAAATTCGTCGATAAAGTTAAATGCGTGCAGCTGCGTGATGCCTACATTTCCTTCTCCGCGTTTCTATTCCTCTCTCACTTTTTCTCTATCTATTACTCTCTCACTTCGTCCCCACTCTGGTTTCTGCCGCCATGACACCATCACAGCTAATCATAAAGAGTCTAGGGGTGTGCGAACATCGTTCAAATATTGATATTCGATTCGAAATTCGAAAAATTTCGAATAATTCGTAAAAATTTCGAATAATTCGAAAGTTTTCGAATAATTCGCGAATTAATGAAATATCTCTGGATCTTCAATTCGAGAGATATCGTGAACGAAAGAAAACCGAAAAAAAGTGTTTTTTCGGGATTACTCCGAAATTTTTGGTTCGATCAATTAAAACCTGAAAATAACTTATGAGGATAATAAAACTGCGTCGAATGCCGTCAACCGCGTGAAAATTGCTTGATCTATTCAAAAGTTATTGCGGTTTGAAAATTCCAAAAATAGTGTTCTATGAAACCTCTATCAGACTTTCGAGCTGGGAGAGCTCAAATGCATAGAAATATTATTTCTTTGAACTCTGCGAGCTCAAAATATCACATAAATTATATTTTGAGCTCAAAAATGCCATAAGTACAATTTTAAGCGCACAGGAATGGAATTAGCGGGAAGTTGCAGGTATGGCCTTTAAGGTGAACCGTTTTTCTAATTTTTTTTTGTCAGATCAGGCGAATCCCTCTAGATAATCGTCAGATTATGAGACAGTACGTTTAGAACATAAAGATGAACCATATGTCGGAGACGGTCATCAATACGGTCGCTAAACGAAGCGCAGCACGACGCCTGAGTGATGGCAGCACCTTCGGTATTATCGCCAACACTCGGCGAGCTTCGTGCTACGACGGAGCCTAGCTAAGGGAGGGGTGCTAAGAGGGCTAGACACTTGCCTTCGAGCCGAGCCAAGCTTAGGACCGCTCCACTAGGAACTGTCTTGCGTTCCGTATTGTCTATACGTGGTAATAGTGAAGTGGTATAATATGGTTGTGTAGTGAAGTGCTGTTTAACTATGTACAAAGTGATTATTGTTAATTTGAAATACAACTGTGATTGCATCGACTTTCATTTGAACCAACACTTCCCATATAACGCCCACTGTATAATTCATGATAAAATAATGGAAAATAATAGAGAAAATTAATGCTGCTTCGATATCAGAAGCGGGATCAGTGTTGGTTCAATTGCAAAAAGAACTAACTCTGCGTGAACAATGACGTGCAATGTTTGAACAACAAAATGTCATTATGTGATCTCTTATCGAGGCCTTGCAAATGCCTCAGATGAAGAAGAACGTCAAGTTACGCGAGTTTGACCCTGACAATATGGATACGGACGCAAGATCTTGATTTGCGACTGTAGTTTTGTGTTTTGCCGAATACCGTCCATACGGCGGCTAGCTTATTTTAACAGTCAGTAAGGAATTAAAAGGATAAGGGTCGACGTGGCTATCACAATTTGTATACCAGAGAATAACATAGGAAGAGTTGAAGGTGATTTTCAAGGCGAGATTTATTTCCACCGAGACATTGGCTGGTACGCTAATTAATTTTAACAGTGACAAACCAAATGAAAAAAGAAACTCGTTACGTACGCAAATCGCCTGATGACGTCACTGACTAATCGTTGGAAAGACGCTAGCAAGAATCAGATAGCAATTGCGACTGTCCTTGCTCACTTATGTCAGTTTAATTCGAAATTACAACGATTGGCCTTTACTACGAAAATTGCTTCGCGAGATCGACTGCAGCAGGGATTGCACGCATTCTCACATTTGAAACGCAAAAAAAAGTGAGTCTTAAGTGGTCAGAGTGTAGAAGCAAGGTAAATGACAGTGTGGAACGACCTTCGATGACAGCAACGGCATTGCAGCCTGCAGTGAAATCTCTGGTGTGCTTCAAATGTGGCAAGCCTGGTCATATCACGCTCCGGTGCATAAGTAGTGCCAGTCAAGTGGACGGCAGCAATATGGGTGCAACACGAACGGAACGACGCGTGGATGTATGTGTTGTACAACCATCTTCGAATGCTCAATGGCATAGAGGTAATCTGTATTGCTTTTGTTACAATCATGTTGCTGAATATTCGTTAGTAAGATAACATTTAGCAGTCAAATTGTGTGGTTAACGATTTTGTCCTTGCAATTTCTAGTATTGATCAAAACAGAATATTCCGCACAGAGTAAAATTTGTTTTGTAACGATTAACGGTCATTCTCTTGAAATCTTTTGAAATATTATGTTTTGCCTAATTATTAGTTACAAAATGGTATCATGATAGAACATGAGATATTGAAAGGTTTTCTATTAACATGACGGCTATAAATTCTTTACACAAAAATTCTAGTAGGTCATGTACCAATAGAGGTTGATGTAAATAATGATCATCATGTCAAGCAAATGTTTTAATGAAGTCGATGGAAACCGATGTAAGCATTCTGACGGCCGAAGTAGTGTCGACCGTACTAGTAACTATTACGTAGTCATAGCCTGGTAAAAGTCGGTCTTTTGAGGAAGCTCAAACTATATAGACCGTGGGTGTGTGATGTGCGTTTAGTTCTGGCGGAGGTCGGGGTCTGTTATGACCATAGTGTGTAGTCATCGAGAGGATGATACACACGGTAATCCCGTAGTGGATGCACCTGGATTGTGGAGCAATTGTGATTGCTGGTTGGCTTGTAAAGCCGTGGCCTAAGAGTGGTTTACAGAGGTGCTAGTAAATTTGAAAATTAGTTTGATTGCTGAAGTGTTGAATGATGGTGGTACATGGCTCTGGATGACTAATGTTATTAGTTAGATTAGAGATAGTTACAGTGACTTGAAGTTTAAAAAAAAAACAAAGGTGTTAGCGTTAAAGCTTTTCGTTAGAATAAAGATGATTCAGATTCAAAGTTAAGTTTTATCTGGTCAGGATTGACCGAGTCGAGCAAGTATTTTCGTTGATTATTTGGTTGCAGGCTAACACACGGCTAACACACGAGGGCGTGTGCACGCAGGATGGCCGTGTCGGAGACGGTCATCAATACGGTCGCTAAACGAAGCGCAGCACGACGCCTGAGTGATGGCAGCACCTTCGGTATTATCGCCAACACTCGGCGAGCTTCGTGCTACGACGGAGCCTAGCTAAGGGAGGGGTGCTAAGAGGGCTAGACACTTGCCTTCGAGCCGAGCCAAGCTTAGGACCGCTCCACTAGGAACTGTCTTGCGTTCCGTATTGTCTATACGTGGTAATAGTGAAGTGGTATAATATGGTTGTGTAGTGAAGTGCTGTTTAACTATGTACAAAGTGATTATTGTTAATTTGAAATACAACTGTGATTGCATCGACTTTCATTTGAACCAACACTTCCCATATAACGCCCACTGTATAATTCATGATAAAATAATGGAAAATAATAGAGAAAATTAATGCTGCTTCGATACATATATATCTTAATCTGACGCGCTCGAGTATTTCAAAATGGCGATTTTTTTTTGCACATTATGAAAATGGCCGCGAGTTTGCGTCCCATCGAAATCGTCAGATTAGTGAATGAGAGCTTTTTTTTGGTGCAATTAACACTCCCTTAGAAAATCTGACGCGCTCGATTAAATTTTTTTTTTCATTTTCAACCCTTAAATACAATCACCCGCATCATGCAAACGATCAGATTAACATACGTACATTATTAAAAATACGTAGGGCATTGATGCTATCAATATCTGACGCGCTCGAGGATGTCTATGCAACAGTTTTTTTTACATATTTAAAAATCTATAGCCGCTTCCCCCACCGATGTAAAGGTATATATCATATAACATTTTTTTCTTCTTATCATCTAAGCTTTGCATCCCAATAGGTCTCTACGACGCTCGAGTAAATCCCCATTTAGCTTCGTGGGCTCCCCTACCATTAAGAGTAATATAAAATGTAAATAAACATAAGAAATTTAATAATATTTACCTTTACACTAAACTAGCGTATGCACGAAGCTCTGCCCTGGTACCTTATTTATATACACATGCTGATATTATAAAGAGGTAATAATAATAGTCTATCTATTCCATACTAACCGTTAAAAAGTACCTCCCTAACTCACCCTCGTCTTGCTCGGGTTCGTTCCTATGAACCTGAACGAAACGAGGGTGAGTCGCTAGTGGATTATATTTACAAAAAGCTTCTTCTTAGCCTATTCTTACAACCCATAAATAGTAGAATTTTCCACGTTTTTTGCTTTTTTAACTATGATAACGAGCATGGACTGATCCAGGACTCGAACTCAAGACCTCCGATTCCATCTGTCGCTATCGCGATTTGCCGTACTTGCTAGCCATTACACCATCGAGGCAGTCAGCTCGAGGTCCCGTAACGCAACTTTCATGTACTTCATGCACGTAGTATTGCGAATAGTTTTTTTTATTAATTTCTAGATTGTAATCATAACCGGCTCATCCGAGTGTATCTAAACTAACATCAAATGCTGACTTCATTTGTTTGTATTCATATTTCACAAATTGTCTGAATATAATTAGGTACTTTGGACTTTAAAGCAACACCGACATGAAAATTATTTAAAATGTGATTTTTAAATTTATGGTGGCCTCTTTCTTGACAAAAATATATATTATTTATGAATTAGACTTACTAAACCATAACTTTTGTGTAAAAGTGGAGTTTTTGGCCTTCTACGCCACGAGGTCACGGGCCCGATTTCAACACGATTGATATATTGTTCGTTTGTAAGACTGTTTGTATAGTTTCTTCATTTATTCCTTTCAATAGTTAAATTATTTAATTATTGAGGTAAAAAAACGTACTCTGTAAAACCACAGATTATATAATACTATACTAGTAGTAAAACATTCGAAACGTCGGGAACAAAATCACGAAGAGATCTAAGAAATAGTTTTATTTTATATATAAAACTAGCAGACCGGCCACACGTTGTTGTGGCACACATTTTTTTCTTTGCGGTAGAATTTGTAGATTAAGGTACCGTTTCTCAGTCTCTCTCCCGAATCTCTCTCCGGATATGAAAATTGTTAATTTTGCAATAAAAAAGTAAATAATGGGGAATAAAAACTATCCTATCTCTTAAGTTAGAACAAATCACACATTAAAAAAAATACGTTAAGATCCGATAAGTAGTTTCGGGGTTCATCGCGGACCAACATCGTGATGTGGGAATTTTATATATTAAGATATTTGTGTAAATCTAATAAAGTATTATAAAAAATATGTAGTTTTAATCAAAAATAACTATTTTGTCAATAAAAAAGAGCAGCAAGTTGTGCAAAAACTAGCACAAATAAATACATGTCGTGGGATTCATTATACAAAGCTATATTTTATAACGCTCATAAATTATAATAGTAGCAATAGAGAATTCTTATTTTTCTTTTGGATAAAAAAATGTTATATACATTTTTTTTATTACTATAATTTGCTTTAATCGATTTTTGGTCACATCGATAAATCTCGTTACTAATCGTGCTTGAGATAATTTGAAATCATAATATTATACTTTATTCAAACAGCTAATATTACAAACACTTTTGGATTATCAATTTAACATGTTTAAATTTAAATTAAATGTCGGCTCTACAGTTTTAGTGAGAAGAGTCTATGACACTGAACTGTTGCTCTTTTTTAATATAATATTTTATTACAACGCAATACAATAATTAAAATAAAAAATAATAAAAATCTTTATTGGGCACATTTTAAAGAGTACAAGATTACAATTATGTTCTTATCCTACGTAAGTATCAACTAATATTTGTTCCACACATTTATATTTCCAAAGTATTTCGCGACGAAATGATACGTTTTGGGCAATAATAATGTATAAAATTCCGCGGGAGGACAATCTGATAGGTTAGATACGTCAGGCGTAAGAGCAGCGGCCCTAGTTCTCCGAGACACAAGAGTACAATATAAATTTTTAGGGTTTAATTGTGTTTAACAATATTTTTTGATGTAAAACGAGAAAAATATCATAATCCCGTTTTTCAATATCAAAATACTATGCAAATCATGCAGTCATCAACTTCCCATATCTGTTATTATTGAGGATTTCTTGGCAATAATAAAAAAAATGTCCAAAGCCTATGATGATGATGCATGCCTCCTAGTGAACTTAAAAATAATTAATACTTTCTTAGATTTACATGAATATTTGCAATTTTAAATAAAACTTTCGGATTTTTTCGCGGATTTATTTCGATTTTTTTTCCCGACGTTTCGAATGCTTTACAGCAATCATGGTCACGGGAGAGACTGAGGTTATAGATGTCTCAAAAATAGTTTGTAAGAGAGAAGAGAAATTCAAATACAGGAAGATACTCTTTACTGTGTTTTTAACTTTACAGTGGTTTTACTGTACTTTTTAAGAATTTGTATTGATTAAGTGTTGCAAAAATAAAAACACTTTTCATTAAATTTAATATGTAATATCGAGTGTAAAAACAATATTTATTTTTAATACGCTACAACTTTTTTGGCAATATTTTTTACAAGGTAATGAAATATAAATATTTTTAATTTAAAATTGACATTTTTAAATAAGCTGTAATATTTAAAAAGTATTTGTTTTATCATAATAATTTATAAAATAATAAATTCAAAAGTGTATCGTCGTTAGGTAAGTAACTTCTCGTGAAAGTGTCAAATCTTGCTTTCAATGATTGTGTTTTGGGTTTGTTACTCGGTTAATTGGGTCTCAAACCAGTTATCGTTATGCAATCATGACATTATTGTCATTTTTTTCTCGTAATCATTACGTTATGTTTTATATTTACGTGAATAATTAACATTTTGATAATAATAAATAAAAAAGCCTTATATTGATGATTAATGATGGAGATTTAACATAATAAGAATTATAATATATATTTTAGAGTACGTAATCCTAAAATACTAAAGAGGAAAAAAGGGTCACTTCGTTGTCCGTCCGTCTGTCTATCTGACTGTTTGTCAAGGCATTTTTTCCCAGAAACCCGTGAAATCAATATCATACACTTAGGCCTGCAATCCTTAGAATCTGTGAAAAAAATCTAACTTCTAAGTCAACGGCATCAAAACATACGGCTGTTTATATGTATTTTGACGCTAGCTACGGAACTCGGAAGGGAATCAAAATCTATAGGGTACTTTCCGTTATCTTAGAATAATGAAATTTGGCAAGAAGCAAAAAGTCTCATAGCATGGAAGTAAATTGAAAATACCAAAAATCGTAAAATCACAAAAAAACTTATTTTAATGTTTTACGCTACGGAACCCTCGGTGTATGAGTCAGACTTTTTCCGATTTTGATCACATTTGACCGATTTTTTATTATATAGGAAGATTAAACCACGAATTGTTCAAATTAAAAAAGCGTGTTATAAAGCTCAGATATACTCATTATTACTATTATAAAAAAAAACATATTTTATTCTTGTTATAATTTATTTTTCAGGTCACACTGCAGTTGTGACGCCAAATTCCGAGAATGTCTTCAAAAAACCAATTCTTTAGTGTCAGCACAGATTGGTCTCACATACTTCAACGTGCTGGGCCCTCAATGCTTCAGGAAAGCACATCCTATTGTGAAGTGTGTAAGGCGAACCAGGTAAGGAAATAATTTTTATTCTCAATCTACGTTATCCAAGTCGGGCCTATACATACATATAGCTCTGACTGCCTCGGTGGTGTAATGGCTAGCATGTACGGCTGCACACTCGGAGGTCCTGGGTCCGAATCCCGGGTCGGGCCAAGTTTAGTTATTGAGTTTTTCTGTATAGTAAGTCTCAGTGGTAATAGCCCGGAGTTGGGAAGTTGGTGGTGTTTCACCCCCGTGCCTCGGAGAGCACGTAAAGCCGTCGGTCCTGCGCCTCAACTCTCACTGGTCGTGTCGAGCAGTCGTCCCACCGGAGTATGAGAGTGACAGGAATAGAGAGTGCACTTGTGTCTGCGCGTACACTTGTGCACTACAATATCTCCTGCGCAGTTGGCTAGTCTCAATGAGATTGGCCGCCGTGGCCGGAATCGGTCAGGAGATCATCATACATACATACATATAGCTCTGACTTTTTAATATGGTTTCCACATTATTAATCCAATTTTTACTTTTTTTTAAATTATATTTTGTTAATTGTTTAAGTCAAGGTATTGGTTTAGTCAAGATCAAGTCAAATTAAAGTTCAAAATTAATTGATTAAAAAATAAGTAACTAAATAAATTTCTTAGAGAATATATATACAGAAACTATTTTTTAATATTTCTCATAGTGTAATTATCTTCTTATTACAAATCTATTATGTTTTACAGGATCACAAGTCTTAAATGCGAAGAATACGAACTCGACTACACGAAACCTAAAATATGGCAGTGGTTTGACAACGAGACATATTGAATGATTGATTGAACAATTTCATCTACATGGAGTCTTCTGAGTGAGAAAAATTAGAATTGGAGCTTAAAACGAATTTGATTTTGAACGTTTTAAACGATTTTTGTTATTTAAACTGTGATAGATTATTGAAATTGGCATTCGAGAAAGTATATAAATTATTCTACGTTAATTATTATAGCATGTTATGTGCATTGTTTCATTCAGACGTTATGTTTGTCGCAAATTATTATTAATGAGATAATATGATCTGGCTTGAAGGACCAAATGATGTATGGGTAGGAAGAAAGAAAAAAATATCAATATTTACTTAGATTTACGCGAATATTTTACATTTTAAATGAAACTATCTTTCGGATTTTGTTGAGGTTGTTTAAGTTAATAAACAAAATAATAGCTACACTAACAAATATTATTATTATTATTTTAAATTGTAATAATAGCAAAAAAAAATTAAATAATATTTTAATTTATTAAAATAATAATAATTAACGCATATGACGTACCTATTTGTGCCATTTTTCGAATGCTTTTAAATCGTTGTTTAATTTTGGGGGTACATACTGTCTTTAACAACTATATAATAACTATTGGGACGTCTAAAATGTCTTTGCCGTAATTACGCTGCATTAAACGAACGATGCATTCGATACGTCGGGAACCAACAACATTAAATAAAAATTAGACAAAATCAGAAAAGATAGTTTCATTTAGAAATGGAATCATTTATAGTATACAAAAAACTAAAATGTACCTCCAAATCAAATTTGTTTGGCCAATATCACTACAGCAGATATTAGATGCAGTGCGTTTGCGCAGACATAAATGCACTCATTGCCAATCGGGTTATAATTAATCAATCTGACATGACCTGAGAGATTAAGTGTAGGACAGATGGATGTAACAGCATCTTCCCACCAGACGCTGGACTCGAACCGACTAGCGAGTCATATCGAGCAAAAACTATATGATTATTAACTGTATGTTTATATTTAATTATGTTTATAATTAAATTAATTTTATCAGTAACCGATTGATATTATATAAATTAATTACAATAATTTACATAGCAGGTGCCTTAAACGGAAGTGTTTCTTTATTTAAGTGGGTGCCAACGGAAGCCTATTACTAAGCCTTTGCTTATTAATAAATAAAAATAAAAGATTTTTTTAACGTTCTTAATCGATTATATATCGAAGTTAATATACTTAATATAAATAATAGAGTAAAAGTCATATCTATAAAAAGTACATGTACGTTGGTACAAACCCCTTCGTGTGCGAATTCCACTCGCACTTGACCGATTTTATTAAAAATTAAATTATGCGGCTTACATATGTATGTATATCAACGTGTTATTATGTATTTTAATATTAAAACCATATTATTGTAACCATGTACATGCTACCATACATTTTACGTTGTATATTTTAGTTTTTTCTAAATATTAAAGACTTATTTTACGCAGTGGTACAGTGTAGTGTAAGCGAGAATGCCAGATAATTTATGTCTTGTAAATAAAACTTTTACTTTACTTCATTTTAGACTAATTTTTAACTACAATTTTTCGAGTGGTAACTAGAGCAAAGGTGTATGTCCATCCCCAGAATGTAATCTATATCATTGCCAAATTTTATCGAAATCTGTTCAGCGGTTTAAGCGTGGAAAGGTAACAGACAGTTACTTTCTTTATCCTATTTCTACTATAAGTATGAAATATGGATATTTGTGTTCTCATGCTATTGAGTATTGAGTGATACACTACGAATACAAAGTGTACTAGTAATAAATGTTAGTACCTGCCTGCGGTTCCGTCCGCGTGTATTTTTATTTAATTCACATTTACTTTAAATATAGACTTCACCTTTTTCCTTAAAATATATACATATAATAAAACGGTTTGATTAGAGAGATTAAATTGTCAATGTGGATATAAAGAGCAATTATTTTTTAACTAAAATATACATATATCGACTTTATTATTATTATTCTAACTTGTTCATTACTTGAGAAAACACACACAAAAAAACTCACAGTCGAATTGACATCCTCCTCTTTGGAGTCGGTCAATAGGCGCCTAGGTCGTCTTGTATAATACGTAGGTACCTAAATTTCTGATCTTTGATTTTTATCCTAAAAGTTTTAGGGCTTAGACAAATACTATTTTTAATAATCAAGGATCAAGCCATAGTCCACCACGCTGGCCAAGTGCGGGTTGGCGGACTACAAATGTGTTTCGAAAACTTGCTAGGTTCTCTCAGACATGCAGGTTTCCTCACGATGTTTTCCTACACCGTAAGGCAAGTGTTAATCATGTTAGAAATGATTCGCACGTGAAAATATCAGAAGTGTGAGACCTGGGATTTGAAATTCTGAAAATCTTTTCTATAGTAGGATACCGGTCTTGTCTACTACTCCTTATAATATAATTATGTATAAATCATATTTAAAAAAAGTTACTTTAGAAGTCATTTAATGTCATTTAAATTAAATAATATGAGGATTGATAAAAAAAAACAACCATATTTATTTACTTTTTATTTACGAAACATCAGAATATATATCGAAATGTCACATTCAAATAAACGATACGTCAATACGCTATAAATAACGACTAAGTATATAAAATAAAAAAAGAAAATAAAAACTTTCAAAAAATTCGCTCAATTTTGGACCTTATGATAGTTGTGATAGAGCAGAGTGTTAAACATTTTATATAAATAGCTAGTGGTGCAATCTGGATCTATTGTGTCAACCTTGAAGCTTTCAGCTATGTCCATACAAAAAATTGCATCAATCCATCACTTCGTTTCGGCGTGAAAGAAGGACAGACAAACTAACAAAGGGACAAAAACCTTTTTAATTTATACCATTAGTAAACAATATGTTTATGCAAAAACAACGTCAATTTCTTACTATAAGTTACAATTTTATAGATATTACAATATCTACGTAACGTAATACGTACGTAATAATACGAACGTTTTTTTGTAAAAAAAGTAAACGATTTGATAACAACTGCTTTTTGTAATAATATATAATAATAATATATAGCCTTTCATTCTAGTTAATATCTTAATATATAAAATTCCCGTGTCACGATGTTGGTCCGCGATGAACCCCGAAACCACTTATCCGATCTTAACGATTTTTTTTAAACGTATGATTTGTTCCAACTTAAGAAGATAGGATAATTTTTATACCGGTTATTTCCTTTTTTTATTGCAAAATTAACACTTTTCATATCCAAAGAGGGATTCCGGAGAGAGAACTTGAGAATGGGCTACCCAAAATTACAAATTTTACCCTAAAGCTAAAGAAAAAAAATTACAAAGGTGCCACGGCAATGCGTGTCCGGGTCTGCTAGTAGTCTATTATGAGTATTGCTTTTTGTAAAATTATTCCAATGTCAGACAATGTGAAAGACGTTAGAAGCTCTATATTTTATTAACTTTTTTAATAATTCATATATCAAGTCCCTTAAATGGAAGTGTTTTTCTTTAATTTAGGAAAACCATTATAATTTATATTGTAAATTAATAAAATTAATATTAATACAAAACATTTAATTCTGACATAAAACATTTACATACTGTATATAAATAGGCAAAGGCAAAACAGTTCAGTACCTGTTTCTCCTCTGTTGGTTAACGGATTTTGTTTTTTTTTGTTTAGTAGCTATTGACGAGCTTTAGCGTTATCAATAAAAAAAATTAAAACAGTTTTTTTTATTGTAGATAGATAAATAATGATTATCGTCGAATTTCGATCAATAATGGAACGCTAGCCTGAAAAAATCCTTAAACGAACCATTATATTTTTAATTAAAACTATTTTTTTATAGAGATTGATCTCTTTCAAGAACATGATTGCTGCAAAGCATTCGAAGCGTCTGTCGGGAATCAAAAATCGAAAAAATCCGCAAAAAAACCGAAAAGACAATTTTATCTTAAAATGACAAATATTCCCATAAATGTAAGAAAGTGTTATTCGAACCATTATATTTAAGGGATTAAATTTTGAAGAAATCATTAAAAATATATATTTTTATTATATAATAAACTTAAAATATATATATTTTTGCATTATAATATTTTTCTCCAAAACTATCATAAGGCCCGTCTACACAGAGTCTACGTGATATCTAGGAGTGTGCGCAAAATGTATCAGAAACTGTGTATAATAGATATGTATGTATGTATGTCCTCGTTAGTCAATGTGCAGTCCTTTCGAATAAATGTTATACAATAACGTACCTGCACAGCTAACAACATTATAATACTTATGTTCAAATAATATTTTGCTATATTTTATAATCAGGCGTTTTAAATGGAAATTTAATTATTTTTGATTATAATTATAATTAATAATAAGTTAAATAATGATAAATTTTAAATGAACAAAATTATATAGAAATATTCTAACAATATATTTATGTAAATATTAACAAAAAATATGTTGTTAGCTATACAATATGTTCAATTTTATAAAATAACAGCACTAATTATAAATTATGATATTTATGAATTATAGTAACTTTTATATAAAAAAAAAATTACTGCGACTACAAGTAACTTTCGTTAACATTTCCATACTAACGTCGCCATCTAATACTATAATGATGATCTAATATAATAATATAATGATAGATGACACCATATAAAGTTGTACAAATACGAGTTGTAAATTTCATATTAAATACTTTCATTACAAAAAACCTTTTAAGTATGTTATAATGAATTAAATGAAGCGTACATATTGAGTTCCTGCTTTGATTATTCTACATTAATAATGAAAAAAAATATTCTTACACTTGATGGCATGTCAATGCTTAACTACTGCTTAATGAATGCTGATTAAATATTAAAAACACAGATGATGTATTCACAAGGACACACCGATTATATGGGCATCATTAAACTATCATTATAATGATATAAAAATCTAATATAAGCTACGCCTACAAATATCTATGAAAAGTATTGGCCTATCAAATATAGATACATATTGCTTAACGTGGTCCAATGGGGTATAATTAGGACTTAGTTTTAGATCAGACTTAGGTCCTGATTTAAGCTTTAGGAAAAAGGGAAGGAATATTACATTTCAATGATTGGAAGTATGTAGTGTTAAGTCAAATGTCAGGCTCTACTGTTTGTTCGGGAATCATATTCTCCATTTTGTATAGATTTTTGCCATTTTATTTGATTTTTGTTTGTAAGCCAATGTATAGATATACCAAATGTAATTCAAGCTTGAAGTTTATCTAAGATGATACCCTTATTGTCAATTCCCTGGTTCTCTCTTACTACTTTCGTTTTAATTAAAATTCGATCATTAAATATCATTATAATACTATAGATTAGTAATATTTGTATTATATTACTAAATATTGTAAATGCTATAATAATGATATTCAATGATCAATTTTTTCTACAATAGCTAAGCCTCTACGTTTGACTAATGATATCTGATGGACTAGATCAATACTAGGATGGTCCAGGATTGTCCAAGGGTGAGGTGAAATTGGTGTTTCATTTGGACCCTGGGATATAAAGCGTTACAAATTTGCCGTAACCAAATATTGTAGTATGCTGAGATCAACCTATTTGCGGTTTTAATCTAAAATATAATAAATTCTAATAATACTTAGAATCATTTCATTAATTAATACAAATTTTGTTATTAACTGCTTAGTTTGTATAATCATCGGTTAATTTCATTGAGTAATCATTAATATAGTAATGATTATAATTTATGTTTTAATAAATGAAATGATTCTGTACGATAAATGACAATGACATCAAAACATGAATATACAGTATACCTACTTATATTAATAATTAGTAATTTCATATATTCAAATACCATAAATAGTAATAAAATTTGTGTCTAGCGTCTAAATACACGCGTCAGCTATAAAATAAACACTAAGAAAATAAGGCAAATGGGTTTTACGGAGGGATTAAAAATATTCACTAAATATCAGGCACTCAAATTGAAAATATTTTTCAAAGGAAAGCTTACAGGTCTAACGTATTATCCTATGAAATAACAAAACACTAGGTAGGATACTAAAAATTAAAAATTATCTATGCTAGCTCAGTCATAGATATATTATAGAATGGACTGATATAATTGAACTTTTGCTTTATTTTGAATTTATCAATTCACAACAAAATGTTTTGTGATTCTTTGAACGTCTATCTCTTTATAATTTCAAAATTTGTTATTATAAGTTACCTTTATAATTTTATAATTTTTAAATAATAGTGATATTTATACATATTTTTATTAATTAGCAGTTACAGTACATTGCACAAAATCCAGTACACATCTGTTGACTTCCACACTTAAGATTCTAAGTGGGCGACTAAAATGAAAAAAGTAATGCTACTTCAAAACGTCAGCGCATTTCAAAATATTTGGCAAAATATTTTTGGATGGATTCAATTATAATTTTCAGTTAACAATAATTTAGTAATGTGCCATTTGTAAGATTCTTTACCGCTGTGCCTGCGTTTTCTCTCTACATCTAAGTCTGAAACTTTACAATCTAATTTTGCCCTGTTTTTAGCTGCCCGTCCTTTAGCTCTATCATTATAATTCATCGTCTATGCATATACCATGGGTTGCTTAAAAAAATGTAATTTAAACAACACACCTTGGAGTAGTTGAACAATAAATACTAAAATGTACATTTTTGTCGACATCTGACCATTAGCTGTTTATTCGGAGATATTTTATATTATTAAAAATTATCAATTAAATATTATTACTATCTCCTTTTATTAAAGAAACAAATATGTTAAGTAGTATGCAACCCATAATATATTGCAATGCTAATTAAACCTTTCTACAACTATTCATTATAAAACGCTCCTATGATTTGTCTATTCCTAATTCGTTAGCTTACATCTGAAGCCGTGGACCCGATTGGTGTTTTACAGAACAATTAAGATTAGAAAAAACTATAGAAAATACAAATTAAATAAAATAGCGCAAAAATTAAAATCAAGAAATACTAAATCTAAAAGGGTTTAAATATATTCTATATAGATAAGTTATATAGTGGAAGAATAACTTATAAAATACGATTATAGGTTTAGATTATATTGTATCTAAATTTTTACAATACTGTATGCAATCACTAATATGTCCATCCAATGAATATACAATACTTATTATAATATTCAAATATATTTTAATAAACTATGATTTAAACATGCGATGTTAGTAAAGGCGTATAAATTTTATCTGTATGATAAGTTAGAACAGGTCGTGCTGTCTTTAATGATACATTTCATTAATATAATACTAATGATTAGCGTCAAATGATATTAGTTACACGCTAATAATAATGATTTAATATTTTAATATATTAAATAATCTAACATCTAATTGGAATATGAACATTTATTTAGGAGACACGATGGGATCACATATAATTTTATTAAAACTACATTCTCAAATACTTCTATAATACTTTCTTTGTTGAAACTTCATTCATTCTTTATTATTTTCGTAAGTTTTAATCATACAACTTACGATTCAAAAACATAGTAAAAGATACTTTTACTTTATAATACTTATACGAAATAAAAATACACAATTTTAAAGTAAATTATTTAAAATAGTTTTTTTTTTTTTGTATCTTTAGATACGACAGCCGCCGGCCCGTCAATTTCCCTTAAGCATAGCAAAAAGCATTTTTTTAAATCACTCTTGTGGCTTTCGAATGTTTTGTGCATAAATGTATCATTTTGTAAAGATTATATTAAAATAATGATTGTACTTGTTAATGATAGAAGCTTATTAAACTTATTCAAAGTCATTCAGTTCAATGGAAACTATACTTTACAGTAGGGTTACTATTTGCAGAAATCAGTTTTAATATGAACAATTTTAAACCAATTTGTTTAACAAGAAATTTTTAACGTCTAATATTATCATAACTGTTATTATATTATAAATTGGGTGTATACCTTTGTTAAAAAAAAAAAAATTAATCAATACAATTTTACAATTATTCATTATTATTTATTAGGTTTACGATTCAAAGACTCATATAATTTATAATATTAAAATAAATTACAACTGATTTCTGCATTGATTTCTAAATGTTCTAATTGCCGAAATTAATACCTTATTTTTAATTTTACATCCTACCACAGATAGATATATGACATAACTGTAGAGCTCCTGTCAAATTTCTATCTCCAGTACGACAAACCGGAAGTTAGTTATCAATTTTGACTGCAATCTATTGGGATGTTGGAAGCATTGTATTATGATTTTTTTGGGTATATTTAAGCGTAGTTATTAGCACAGTCGAAGAAAGGGAAGCATGCGACGGGGTCGGCGGCGGAGTGCTACAGGACGTGCAGATTCTCGCACGACTTGGACTTAGAATCGCGCGCCCACACGCGCCCCAGCAGACCACGCACCTAAAACAATATTACACACTAAATGTTGAGACAAGTAATAAGTTATCACTATACAAAGTTTAGCTAATATCGGTTCAGCACTTTTTGGATGAAATGCACACAGATATACAGATAAACAGACGAAAATTCCAACAACTATTGTTTGGTGTGTATTCTATAAACAATACGTAACAGTTATTGTTTTTAAGGATATTTCATGTACATATTTCGCATTGTTGCTATTTTATTATTTGTATCGATATTTACCTATACTTAGTTTTACGTAAATATATGACATTTTAAATGAAACTTTTTTGACGAGAGTATATGATGAGTGGCCAAATTATTTTAAATACGAAGCAAACCGAGGGTCCAGGGGTCCTGTAGTGTGTGCGCTAGCGATCCTACAACGCCCTATGGAAGTGCGGCAATAGGGTTCCACTGTAGTGGGAGTCTCAGAGTCCCCTGTCCCTTGACGGGAAATCTCCCCAGGGTGGAATTTCCCACCGACTTCAAAAAGAAAATATTACAAACCAAACAGGCAAACCGAGGGCAGTCACTAGTATATATAAAAAAAGGAAGTACAATCTAACATACTTTTACGCTAGCCGATAGTCTAGTGCGTTTCCTGGGTGTGCTGGAGGCGGAGGCGGGCGCCGGCGTCGTGTTGTCAGTCTCCAGCGGGGAACGCGCGCGACTGCGATTCTTACGCGAACCACTGCGTTTTCTGCAAAGATTTGCGTTTGTAACTTTAGATTTGGAATAAGAAAAAAATTGGTGAAAAGGTTTACATAAACCTGAAGTTAACTTAAATTATCCCATTCAGATTTTTACCAACACTTATTAAATAAAACGAATCATAAAACGGTTCACAATAGAGAAATACGTCATATTATATGAAAAACAAAATCTGAGAACGTATATATTATATAAAAATCGATTTCTGTATGTATGATCCCTACGGACTCCGAAACGGCTGGAGCGATTTTGATGAAATCTTTCAAGTAATCTTCAGATTAGCCCAGCGGGTGATCTTATGAAGTTTGGTAGCGATTAGAAGTTTGAAGGCGTGTGAAGCCGCGGGTAGTTAGTTATACATAAAAAAGTATTTACACTAATTTAGTAAGGAAAAGGTTTATGACGTCGATCAGAAGTATTTTAAGAGGCATGAAAAGCTACTTTTATGAAAACTTCTCACCTCACTCTTTCAGCGTGTTGCTGCTTCAGTCTGATTTGCGTGAGGAGTCCCACTAGCAGTTCGTCCACGTTGTGGTTGATCCCCACCGACGTTTCTATAAACTTGCATTCGTATGATGTTGCGAGGGCTTTGCCTTCTGAAAATGGGTAAAAGAGCTTAATTAGCTATATTATAATCGACTTCAGCCATAAGTAGAATCCTGTCTATTTATTTTATTATATACATTTAGGTTTTAACGCTTAATATAGATTTCTCAGAGATAAGATATTTTCCCGCAGAAAAAGTATCCAATATGTTGACCCGGATAACCAGCTGTTATTATAATAAATTTCATCAAAATCTGTCTAGTGGTTTTGTCGTGATACGTTCCCTGACAGACAGACAAAAATTCTAAAAACTATAGATTCGGCTTCTATATTTAATAATATACATGATAATGACAATTTTGATAAGATTTTCCAAAAAATATTTAATGTACAGATTCGACTTAGAATTTTATTATATGTATTGTAGTTATGATATTTTTATTCTATTATCACGTACTAATGAAATAACAACAATACACTAAATACAGACAGCATTAACTGCGTCCAACTAAACGATCGTATTGCTCGTAATTTTATTCAATACGACGTTCCCACGAGTTGGTAACACTAAAACAGCCGTTAGTGGGGCCTTTAATGCGTAGATGTAATGTTTGTCGTCCACTGCCACTTTCGGACTATTAGTTTAAAAATGTTTTTGTGTGTATGTTTGTTACCTGGAGTAGCACATAGGCTAAGTGTAGGTACTATAAATAAAGTAAATAAACAAATAAATATGTTGGGACATTAACACACAGCACCATCAAGTTCCATGGTAAGCTACGAGGCTTGTGTTATGGATACCAGATAGTTGATACACTACATACATATATAACTTTAAACACATACTTAATCCCTCCACGACCGCGGATACGCCGGCGTGTCAGTTTACAATAGGTTTCTTTGAATTTCAATTAATTTCTTAGAAATTTACTTGGAGGTGATATTATAGATATAAACACCCATGACTGGACTACAAACATTCGTGATCATTACACAAATGAATCCCCCCTCAGCGGGACTCGAACCCGCGACCGCTGGCACAGCAAGTAGGGTCGCTACAAACTGAGCCAAACGTGTCATCAAATACACAACACAATGTATGTGTACATACGTGGTGCCACTTCTCATTAACAATATATTTTGAGATTCTTTTTATAACATCAATTTCATGAAACAGTGAAAGAATAAATTTAGAGTAAATCTGTATATTTTGAAACAAAGGGAACAAACAGTGTTTATTAATACTATGTCTTAGAGAACTAGATATCTTGAATTTCCGTGTCGTGAACGGCGGTGGACACGTCTGAAAGATTTCCGCCGACCCGTTTTTGGCTAGCATGGTGGATTCTAATACTGGCTCGTGTACAGGATTGGTATATTTTTCTATGTCGATTAAAAATGATTTAAATTCTATCTAACACACGTCCAAGCCTAGTTACTCGTATTTTAGTTTTCACTTAACTTCTAACTACATCTTACTTCTAAAGCTGACACTATGCTGATTAACGATATATTGTGTAGAGGCAAACCCTAAAAGGCCTGATAGCCATGTAACGCCCGACCTTGGACCTTTTCCGTCCATTTTACGACGTCCCTTGCGGAAAAATTAGGGGTAGCAATTACAGAGTTTGCTCGCATACGGTTAAGCTCTAAAGCGAGAAGCAATGGAACTCTGACGAAACATTTAGATTGATCGTTTGAACTGATTAAACTTGAAATAACAGAAAAGGAATAGAGAAATTGTAATATATTTTTTCATAGTCATGCTGCTATTAAAAATGTAAAAGTTTGTATGTGCATGTATGTATGTTTGTTATTCTCTCAACCTGAAAGCTCAGCACTCACTTCAGCGTATAGAAGTAATACAAATACAAATATAAATACACACACTGATCATACAAAGTTTCGCTATTATAATAATTTGATTTATCACAGTGAAAGTTGTTCATGCAAGATTCCTTGTGACCGTTAACGTCCCACTGCTCTCTTCGTGAGGGGGATCAGACCATAGCCCACACGCTGGCCAAGTGCGGGGCGGACTGAGCATGTCTTTCTAACAGATATATAGTTGTCCTGCTTCTCAATGTTTTTCAGGTTTAGTATACTTAAATATTATACATCGAGAAAGAAGTTCAGAGATGAAGGTAAGAATTTAAATTTAAATTGAAAAAAATAATTAAACTGAATCGCTTATTCAACAAAATCATGTACAGCTCAATTATAGTAATTCTAAGAATGTTGGCGGTTTATTTGATTAAGTTAGGATGCTATTGTTCAAATATTTGTTCAAAAAATAAGATCGCTCAGTTTTTCTGTGATATGAAGTCGTTGTTGATTCAGTAATAGTATATATGATATTATGTGTAATGTATATTGATATATGTACGTATCATAGCGTAACTGACCCGGTGATGTAGTGGCTAGCATGTGCGACTGCACAACCAGAGGTCCTGGTTTCCTATCTGTCTGTTTTGTCTTTGCTTATTTATTTACTAGCGACTTACGTGCCTCCCTAGTACGCGGATTTTGTTTTCACAATATTATTATTATTTTTTTGTGCGGAATCCTGATTCTTTTTCTTAAATAAAATTAGCCTAAGTTACTCCTTATAACGTCAGCTATCTGCCAGTGATCGTTCCGTAAAAATCGGTCTAGTCGTTTCGGAGATTAGCTGAAACAAACAGATAGATAGACGTACAAAATTTTTAATAATTGTTTTTGTCTTATAAATACCATATATACTTTTATATGCATTTAGTAAAAAGTTGTGTGATTGAAAAATTTGAGTAAGACAATAATAAAATGGCAATTGTTAAACTTTAGAAAAAGCCTGGTATTTTAACTAAAAAGTTAAGTAGAATTTCATTTTAAATTAAATTATTTCTTCCCCCGAAAGGACAAATAAAGTTAACAGCTGTCAGCTGATTTTGTATTTATATATTCTGTATTAGTCCCGAATCTGAATTACATGCACATTTTTTGCGGCTGCGATTTTGATTTACAATTCTAACTAGTCCTAACTTTATTCGCATACATATTTTAAATAAAATTGTGATGCAAAGTGGTTGACTGTTATCTTACTATTAAAAATGTATTTATAAGCAGGCAAAGGTTCAGTACCTTTTTTCCTCTGTTTGTCAACTGATTTTCTTTTTATTTGTTTACTAGCGACTCACCCTGGCTTCGGTTATCTCGGGTTCACTCGGGTTCGTCTCGACAGTATGTTATGAACGTTTTAATGGTTAGTATGGAATAGATATACTATATTTTATATTACCGCTCCGCTCCCTTGGGTGATACATAGCCTAATAAACGGGTTATCTAAGGCAAAAAGAATTTTTCAAATCGGGTTAGAACTTTCTGAGATTAGCACGTTCAAACAAACAAACTCTGCCTCTTTATAATGTTAATATCGTATATACATTAATATAGTATATACACAATACTTATCATATATTTGACATTTTAAATAAAACTACCTTTTCGGATTTTTTCGCGGATTTATTTTGATTTTTGCTTACCGACGCGGTTTCGAATGCTTTACAGCAATCATAGTCACGGGAGAGACTGAGGTTTAAGATGTCTCAAAAGTATTACATAGTTGTTATAACTACCCACAAAATAACACAATGAATTCTAAAAATTCAAAAATGACCTAGACCTGAAATAATTAAAATTTGACAAAGATTGTAAGGTACAATCTTTGTTAATTTTAATTTTAAACATTTTTATAATTTTTATTAGGTTTTATAATTGAATATGGAATATTGCTTATTTAATTTTGGCTGTTATTATTATATTTTTTATATATGTTTTTAGAAAACTTTATTAATTAGTAATCTTATTTAGTGTTGCCATTATTATATTTATAAACATAAAGGAAATATTAATTATTCAAAGCAACATAATGTGTGTAATAATGTAATTTAAAAAGTTAAAATTAAAATTAATTAAGTATAATATTTTTAATTTAATTTGCAATTATTTAGAAAAGAATCTTGTATTTGAGACATCTTAAACCTTAGTCTCTCCTGTAACCATGATTGCTGTAAAGCATTCGAAACGTCGGGGACCAAAAGTCAAATTAAATCGGCAAAAACATCCGAAAAGATAGTTTTATTTATTTATATTAGTGTAAATTTATATTAGTAGTGCTTTTATATTTTCTATCAGTTTATCGACAAAGAAAGTATTAGAAATAATAAATACTAAATTTGAAACCTAACCATTTGTACATATTACATTTACTTTCACATTTCATTTGCTTTATAATATTATAACTAAGGATTTCAGAATCCCTGAACAACTGTTAATTTTCAACATAAACAATGACCTCTTTGTCTAAAACTATCCCTATAGACGATACTGTTTTATCAAAAAAAAATACAGGATTATGTATTTTGCTTTATTACAATAAGTATCAGAATAGGTTGTTCTAATATAAATATAGGTTAAATCATTAATCATTTACCCAAAATGAATTGAACGAAAATCGATACAGTAATCGTATACCTGTTTCAGAAATTGTTGTAATATAATGAGCGATTAATCATATTGGGAACTAGATGAACTCGCTAATCGATATCAAAGAAGGTAGTAGCCGGTTTAGCATTTCTTATTATTATAATATGTATTCTTGTAGATATTATTAAAATCGATTCTTTTGATTTTTTCTTTAATACGCCATATTAAGATATATTCAAATTTTGCCTTCATTATATAAGTAAGTTAGATGTGCAAGACTCGGGCTTGAACCAGCTTCTTTTTTCGAGGAAATTCGTTTTCACTAGGCTAATATTACCTATGAAACGTCTACTAAAACAAAATTTAATTTTCTTATCTATACTATATACTACAATATTATAAAGAGGTAGTTTGTGAGTTCGTGAGTTTATGACGTTGTAGAGGGTAGTCTCTGGCTCTACTGAACCGATTTCACTCAAAAAAAGAGTAAGCACCTAATTTGTTTGGTACCTAGTTTTAATTTCGTTTTGTTGCTTAATTTAGTGAATTATATATTAAAAAAAAGCATAATTATATCAATTATATT